TCCAAAGGAAAAATTGAGAAGTTTAAAGCCAGACTGATAGTTAAGGGTTTTGCTTAGAGAGAATGAGTAGACTCTGAGGCAACATTTTCTCTAGTCTCTTCTAAAGATTTTTTAGAAAAGATCACCGCATTGGTAGCTCATTCTGATGTGAAGTTACACTAGATAGATATTAAAACTATATTTCTGAATGGAGACCTTGATGAGGAGGTCTATATGGTGCAACCCAAAGACTTTGCAGCAGATGATTTAGGTCAGCTTTTATGTATACTTAAAAAGTTAATTTATAGCCTCAAGTAAGTTTCCAGACAATGGTACTTACAATTTCATAGTATTGTCACTTCATTCAATTTTGTTGAGAACAAAGTGTATCAGTGTATATACTTGCAAGGTCTATGGGAGGAAATTTATTTTTCTCGTACTCAATGTAGACGATATATTACTTGCGAGCAGTGATCTTGGATTATTGCATTAGACAAAGCGGATGTTGTCGAAGAATTTTGACATGAGAAACCTTGGTGACACGTTTTTTTGTCCTTGGCTAGGGATTGTTCTCACCGTGTACTTGGTTTGTCTTAGAGGGCATATGTTGATCGTATTTTGGAAAGATTCAGGATGCAGCATTGCAAGCCAGGAATTGTTCCCTATCATTAAGGGGTCATAAACTGAGTCTATCATAGTGTTCTCATTCAGATTTTGAGAAAGCCCAAATGAAGGATGCACGTTATATTAGTACACTTAGAAGTATCACATATGCTCAAGTCTACACCAGAATAGACATTGATTTTGCAACAGGACTTCTAGGTAGATATCGGTAAAATTCAGGACACAATCACTGGGTTACTACCAAGAAGATTTTGAGGTACTTAAAGTGGATAAGAGACTATATGTTGATTTATAAACATGTTCAGAACTTGCAGCTAGTAGGGTGTTCGGATGCAAACTTTGCTGGTGTTAGGATGACATGAAGTCAACAATAGGAAACATTTATATGTTAGCAGGAGGTGCGGTATCATGGAAAAGCGAGAAATATAAATCTGTGTCATCCTCTACCATGCAAGCGGAGTTTATAGCATGCTTTTTGGCCGCTACTCAGGCTATTTGGCTCTGAAACCTCATTAGAGAGCTAACCATATTTGATTTTGTAGATAGACCTATGCAGTTGTATTATGATAGTAACTCTGCAGTGTAACAAGAGACGTCTCAAGGGGTCCAAGCATATAGCGGTCAAGTTTTTTTACCATAAATGAAACAATTCAGAATGGTGATCGAGCAATAGAGCATATTTTCATAGATGATATGGTTGCAGATCAATTAACTAAAGGTCTTTGCCCTTATGTGTTTGAACGACATGTCATTGACATGGGCTTGGGAGTATCATGGGATGTTATTGTTTAGTGAGAGCTGTTTTTTTTTTTCGCTATAATAAAGTTTACATTTGTGTTTGTTACGTTTTGTGACATTTTGATATGTATCAACTCTTTTGCATTCAATAAATTGTTTATAAATGTATTGTTGTCATGTTGAAACAATGAAAATCTTAAGTTATGTGTAAATCTTGAGTAAAGGCTGGGGGCATTCAATTATTAGCCTTAAGGATATGTCTTATTGCACATAAAGTAAAGTTGACTATAATAAGACATGTAGGTTCATTGGAACCATAAATATATTTTCTGGTGACACATCAGGTTTTGTGACACTAAATGAGAGAATGTGGACATGATAAAGGAGACGACACACAAGGTATTACTCTATATAAGGTGTTATCCATTTACCACACTATCATATTGAATCCATATCAATATAGTTAAAAGCACTTGTAATCATGGAAGGCTCTGTGTGTATCCATGATTTGGTGTTTGGGACTTTATGAGATCAGATTGACTGTTAAGAGTAATCTCTAGACCAATATAAAGGTGTGCACATACAATATAGTTTTAATTAATATAGCCCAAGTGGGAGAATGTAACAACTTTTCTAATGTGGGCTACATTAATTAATATTGATAATTACCATTTTATGGGGTTTATCTAATAAAGTAAGATATAAAGATTCTTAATTAGTCTAATATGGGTTTGCCTAGTGTAGGCCAAGTATAGCCTGGCCTGTAATGAAAGGGCTTGTGGCTGAAAATTTTATAAAAAGTGCCCAAGTCTCTCCTCTAATCCTGATGCACAAATTACCTCACATAAGGAATAATTCCTGAACGTTAATTGTGAGGGGCAGTCTCATTGAACTAGTGATATAGAAGGTAATAGAGGAGAAGTACTTGTGCTTAGGATCGTTACTTTTCCGCATTAAGAACGATGAATTTCAAATCGAGTGCACAAATCCCTTTTCTTAATCCTAACTATGGATCTTGGGATGCCGTTTTGATGGCTTACAATATGTTCTTCAAGGTCCTTCCCGGTTCTGCTAGTTTGAATAGTTTCTTACCCTTGAAGAAGATTCGGACCTTCTTATCCAAAAAGTAGAGGCACTCAACCTTGCTTTCGCTTCATTAATAGTAGGAGCCGATTTTACTCACGATCCTTCCAATCCTTATGTTTCATGCTGAAATCGCATATTCACTTTCTACTATCTTGTCCTTTCAAGTATATTGACGACTCTAGTTCTACTCAAATGTTCACCTTCTATAGTCCATCTAAGTCTTCTCCAACTCCTCGTTTTACGACTTGTTCACCTGCTACTCAAGTCCATCTAGCTTTTGGACACCTTCTATGTCCAACACCTTGTTCGTCCTAGCTTTTGATGATCCTATCGAACTTCATCCGCATATTGGCTTGTGCATCTATCAACTGGTTCTACACCATTAATGCAAGTATTAGTATGCTTTTACCGTTTGTCAACTTCAAAACAATACATGCTATTGTGCTTTTCATTTGGAGAGCGAGGCGGGATGCCACATATATGCCAAAGTGCATAAATTGAAGACTAGTTAATGGCCGTGGTGCCCATCAACTAACATCGTTTTCTTTCTCATATTTTTTTGGGAAAATTCCAAATAAAAGTCTGAAGTGCCATCAATTTCTCAAATAAAAGCCTGAAGTGGATCTTATTTCAAATAAGAACATGAAGTGGCCAAATCGTTTTAAGAAGGGCCTAAAGTGGATCTTGTTTTAAATAAGGGTCTGAAGTGGCCATATCAATATCAAAGAAAGGCAAAACCTAGCTAGTCAAACGGCATTTTCGTCCTTTACTTTTTAGAATTTTTCTCTTTTTTTTTCTTTCTTTTTTCTTTCTTTTTTCTTATTCCCACTTCCCTTCTTTGGCCTCAGGCGAGGGCTGCCCTCGCCGAATCTAATGCAGGTGAAGGCGACGTTAGGCGAGGGTCACCTTCGCATGGGCTGGCAAGGCCAGACGAGAGTTGCCCTCACTGGATTTAGCGCAAGTGAGGGTAGCTCTCACTCGCGCCCAGGCGAGGGCGGCCCTCGCTTGAGGTCAGCAACCTCCGCCCGCCATCACTGGCCGGGGAGGGAAGAGGAAAAAAAAAAAGGAAAGTTAAAAAAAATTTACAAAATATACTTATAATTTTTTTACCAAAATACCCCTACCGGAATAGTCACCTATTGGCCGGCTAGCCAAAAGTCTTTATTTGAGACAATTTGACCACTTCATGGTCTTATTTAAAACAAGATCCACTTCAGGCCCTCATTTGAGAAAATGAAGGCACTTCATGCCCTTATTTGAAATTTTCCATTTTTTTTTTATGGAAAGACTATATTGTGCGAAATGTGAAAAAGTTCAGAGACTAAAGTGAACAAAAGAAATGTTCAAGAACGACATTGAACGTCGGCGAAAAGTTTATATGCTACCACGGTATTATCACAGACAGAATACTCGTAGGGTGGATGAGAGAGAATGCCCTAGGTACGTAAAGGTTTCTTGCTTTTGTTTGCAACCACATGCTAGGATAGACTAAGGGGAGGGTTACCGAGAGAGTCGTACCGAGGAAACTCGCACAAATGGAGAATCAAAAAAGTCGACATGTTACCCTGAGAGGATGCTTTTGAGGTGAGAAAACTCTATCAGAGATCTCCAGAATCTAACACCGATCTTATAGTTTTGCATTATTTGTAGCGGTGAAGATGACTGCACGGTATCATATTATGCAAACAAACAAGATATAGACAAAAATTGAGGGCCACCATAAGCTATAATTGACACCTACATCTACCAAAGCAATAGCAAGATTTGAACCCATTTCATGCACTTTATCGTTTTTGTCCGGACAGTTAATTATTATGCTTCAAAAGTTATTGACTACAAACTTGTCAAAGTTATATAAATTAAGGAAATGGTTAATACCACGAAAAATCACAAATTGATATACTTGTGACAAATTTACTTCAAACTAATTTTTTGACCATAAAAAATCTCAAACCGTTACACCCGTGACAAATTTACCCTTCGTTAGTTTCCGTTAAATTTTACTGTCAAATTACTTTGTTAAATGACGTATGATAGTTGACGGATGTACCAGTTTTAGGTTCATAGGTGTACTTGTTTGTATTTTTTGTGGTATTAATCCAATTTAATGGAAACTAATGGAGGGTAAATTTGTTATAAATGTACCAGTTTTTGATTTTTTTGTGGTCAAAAAATTAATTTGAGGTAAATTTGTCACATATGTACTAATTTGGGATTTTTTGTGATCGAAAAATTAGTTTGGGGTAAACTTGTCACAGGTGTATCAATTTGGGGTTTTTCGTGGTATTAACCTTTAAGGAAAATAATGATATATGGGGAAAAATTACTTATTTTTAGTTTTCATGAATTACAAACTCGAGAGAAAGTTACGATACTTGAGGCAAGTTTACTAAGGACAAGAAAATAGAAACTTACGATGAAAAGTAGGCCCTTCAAGGTTTGGAGAACATGAAGTAATTAATTATGTCTGAAGAAAGGTTACTATAACTATCATTTACAGGAGATACGAGAAATTATCATTCTTGAGGACAGTCGCTGATTATCGATACTATCAGCGACTAGAAGTTTGATGAAATTTACTCTACTATTCGATAATAACTAAAGTAAGTGCTAGAAGTTTCGTTTTACAGACCTTATAGATAAATTGTGACCCAATAAAAATAAATTACTAACTATAGGTGCAGCAGAAATTACAAGGAATTCGAGTGAATGACTGAGTGTAAGAGTAAATAATGTGATATTTTATCCCCTTTTTTTGGGCAAGGGCATAGGTGAAGTACTCAGCGTTTACGATTTCGCCCAATAATAAAAATCGTTGGCATTATGGTCCTCAATATAGTGACCCGACATAAGTTTTAGGCATAGACAATAATTTCACATGAATTATTGTGAGATCCGTATGTATGTATGTGACAATGTTCCATTTCCCCTAGGGGAAATATGTCTTCTGTCACCTCATTTCGGGGCAAAAGTCCCTCTTCATCGTGTCCCAAATGAAGGTGTTGTCTTTGTGAAATCAACTCCTTTGTGGCATCCGATGTGTACATCTCTTCGTCTCCTTGTTTGTTCTTTTCTATGTAAGGCCAGCTTTGAACAGCAATAGCCGGACCCGCAGTTGCACGGTGAGCCCCGAATTGAATTAGAATGACGCGACGCGACACGACCGTTGTTGTTCTCTGTTGCAATAATTGGAACACAGTTAAATTGTTGTAAGGACAACGGAAATAAACGGAATTAACAAAGATTTTATAGAGCAAGAGTGTTTGGAAGTGATATGTGAGTGCAAATTGAGCAATCGTAAAGAATGAAAGGAAGGGGGCTAATTTATAGAGTAAATAAAGTATTTGTGTCTTGATAAGTGATCGATCATGACCCAACGGAAACTTTAATTTTTTTTTTATGTCATTTACGGCCTCGATCGGTCAAATTAGGTCACTGGATCAGTGATGTGACTAGATTTTAGGGCTCCAAAAATCCTTGGCCACATGGGCCCAACACTTGGATACGGCCTTCAAAACAAATTTTGGGTCTCGGTCGGCCTATCAGAGCTGTCGCGTCGCGCTTTTCGTACCCTAAATGCACTATGAGGTATTTTCGTTCATTTCTAATGATTAGATGCTATATTAAATGAACGAGGGTCTCTCCCTGACCATACCTCACGAGACAGTGGGTACTTGTTATTTTGTTTTCTATTTAGTCTATGTTTTGTTTTGGAGTTGCCACTAGTCCTTATAGGTCGACTAGAAACATAATCGAGGTATGGGAGAATTACCCCGATTTCTATGAAACAGAGATTACATGGGTAAGGGGACTTGGTTACGCTAACAATTCCGACATCGAGATCCCTAACGCCCTTTCGGTATCTAAAAAGATCCGAAGTGTCTAAACGTGTCATGCGAGTTCACAAGGCCTATTCACTAATTCTAACCATTCTAATTGGAGATAAATCAATCAATAAGGAAATGCGCAATCATTTCAAATCACAAATGGCAATCCTAAAATGGTCTCTAAAATGAAAATCAATCAAAACACCCAAACCCTAGTGAAGCCCTAAAGGCTTGTTCATTCAAAGGATTATGTTATTTTTTAGGATTTTTTTAGGGGTTAAGACCCAAGGGAAGGGGCTAAAGTCCCTTTTAGGGTTTTTTAGGGGTTAAAATCCCTTTTTATCTCTAAACTAAGGAGCCTTCAAAAATACCACTTGAGCACCTCAAAAAATTTAAATTTCACTCAAAGTAGGTGGCCACAGATATTCTAGGTCATTTTGTGAATTTTTGGAAATTTTTATTTTTTAGATTTTTTTTTGAAAATTTTTTATTGAATTTCTCACATTCCCAAAATCCAATTTTTTTAACTTTCTGAAAAAAATTTATGAATTTTTTCGGAATTTTTTCAATTTTTATAGATTTTTTGGATTTTTCAAATTTTTATGAATTTTCTAAATTTTTCAGAATTTTTCAAATTTTTTATGAATTTTCTGGGATTTTCTGATTTTTCTAAAATTTGTATGAAATTTCCTTAATTTTCTGGAATTTTTCTGAAATTTCCTAATTTTCTGAATTTTCTGGATTTTTCTAAAATTTCCTATTTTTCTGATTTTTTCTGATTTTTTTTCTAATTTTCTGAATTTTCTGGGATTTTTTGAAATTTTCTGATTTTTTTTATTTATTTCGCAGGCAAACCAGACCGAACCAATTTAGACCGGTCCAACTTTAGATTGGTCCGACCAAGTCGGATCGGCCTGACTAGTGCCGATGGCGCTCCAGCAGGGATGGTACCAAAACGGCACCATTTCTGCCCTTCTTCATTGGGAGATTGTATCAAACACCTTGTGTGCATTACCATCTATGCCATCCCACTCTCACCGTCACTTTGGCTGCCACTCCGATGACTTTCCGGTCACATTCCGACTACCCTAAACGGTCCTCAACCTTCTCCTAATGGCCCTTTAACCATCCGTACCTATTGGATCATTACTAAACCTCCCCTAGCCATTGATTCACAAGCTGAAACATCATCACCTAAAACAGAGATCATTACCTAAAACTACACTAACATAGCCTATTCTACAACTAAATCAAACCAATGAGCATTCTATTGATTCCAAATCATTCAAACATGAATTCAAACTTAAAAATGATCAAAACGAACTAACTTGGATAAGCTTTTGCCACGGGAGAATGCAATGCGATGATTTATTGGCACCGGCAAGGGAACATTGATGGCCGACTCAATGCAGATCCAAAATCATCGATCCAAAACACACAAATCAAACAAGAAATGGATTAGAGACACAAAGGAGGAACTAATAAGCATCATAAAACCGAACAAGTTTAAAAATCACAAACGAATCAACTCTGAAAGTCCCTTCGGCATTTTGACAAACAAGTAATGTGCATGTGGGAAGCGTTTTTACCTTCGTCGTTGGGGAGCAAAATTGAATTTCTGAACCACGAACAAGTGATGATCTCGTCCCTTGGCACTTTTTCTACCAGCTCACAATCTTGGATTTGTTGAGAAAGTCCTAGATTGGGTAATCTAGGCTACTTTTCACCCGTTCACGATCAGCCTCCTCATTGGAACTTGGAGGGGAAGTCACGGTCAACAGCCAATTCACCGGCGCTCCTCCGGTTAGGGCGGCGCCGAACACTCGATTGCAGGACTTCTACCCTCTCCCTTTCACTGTCTCTCTCTTGTTTTCTCTCTAGCTCCTCTTTCTCCCTCTTGGGAATTTTCTCGAACGCGTTGTGTGCACGAACTCAACTTTTTTTCTGTTTTTCTCCACCTTCCCGAGGCCGTTCCGGGCACTAACCGACTCCCCAGTCGGTTAGATCAGTTGGGGAAGGATAGTTGGAGGCCCCCGGCTGTCTAACCATCCCCAGCACGTGCTGGAATGGGGGGCGGGCCAAACAAGTTTCCAAACTCCTCTTCCGTGCGTGCCCAGACCGGGTGAAGAAGAAGGCCAATCTAGGCCGGGTCGAGTCGGATCCGACCGACCCGAAAGACTCGAATTGGTCTAATTTTACAAATTTGACCTAATTTTGTCCCAATTTCATGATTTTAACCCCAAATTTAGACTCCTTGATACATTTTACCCTATAATATGGATTCAATTTGAATTTTTATTTCAATTAGGCCAAAAATCCCTAAATTTGAATTTGGTTCAATTAGGTTTTTGTTCAATTAAGTGTCCAAATGACCTAATTAGTCAAAATTGAGGCAAAAATTGAATTATCCATGCTCAATTAACCCTAGGGAAGGTATGGGCCTTGATTGAAAATTTTAAATTGAATGCAATCCCCAATTTGGGTCTTAAAATCCCTAATTTTCAATTAATTTTGGGGCTTTTTGATATTTTCATCAAATTATGAAATTGGACTGACCAATGTGCAATTAAAGGTCCCAAAATCAATTATTGTGGAGACACTATAGCCCAAAAATTACTAGAAAGCATTTAATTGGATTTTTGGTTCAATTAGAATATGAAATTGCCCAAACTTGGGGAAAACATATTCCCAATTGAAATTTTGTAAAATTGACATTGTAGGGATAAAATTGGAATTAAAATAAAACTAATCAATATTTTTGTGGAATTTTTTAATTCCATTTGGTATTTTTTTATTTTATTCCTATTTTTATTAAAATAAATTGAGGAAAAATTAAAGAAAAATCTAAAAAAATATATTTTTTGTTTAGAAATAGGTTCCTAAGCATGGCCAAGGTTTCTAATCCTAATTTTGTAATTTTTAGGTAAATTTGAAAAAATGAGTCAAAAATCAGATGTCAACAAGAGCCCATGGGACTTGACACAATCCGCTAGTCTGAGTGTCGAACCGTGCCATGCCCGGGTCGACACAACCTGCTGCCCAACCCTACACGGAGGCGACCGTTTCATGCTTTTTAAATCGAAAAAATGGGTTTCCTGTGGGTCCACATAGATCCCTTTTACTTAGATGATCCAAATCCATCTCAATGTATATATTAGGTTTACCGAATAATTTTCCGGTGCAGAGGTACATCGGCGAGAATGGGGTTAACTAAAGGAAGACCCTTTTCATGCTTTTAAATTCACTCCAATAGAAGTCCAGGACGATTAGCATGCTTAGGGTGGTTGATGTAGGTCGGACTAAATTAGGGTTTGCATCGCCAAACCAAACTAAACCGAAATTCTGTCCTTCTCTGGCCTAAGATCGCTTCGCAAATCGGACCGAATCTTTTTAGGCCGATGCAATTTGGTAACCCATTTTTGCCATTATTTTACTCAACCATGTTAATTTGATTGTTTGATGTGCTATATTAAATCACAAAAGCAAGAGATATGCTTTTAAAATTCTAAACTTTAGTCCATCTAGGAGAATAAGGAAAAACTAGCTCTCTTCCTTGATCACGTACCTAGTTTTTCTGAATTTAATTTGGAATAGATGTATTTTTCTTTATTAGGCTGAATTTTGCAATTTTTAAAATAAATTTCTCTACTTTGTTTAAGTGTGATGGCCGAATAAAAGACTTGACTGTTCAAGCAATAAAAGACTGAATAAAAGAATTTTGCCCGTGGGACGAAAATACCTTGACTTTTAAAATGATCCAAAAAAATTCAACGAAAAATTGACGATGTGTGTACTTATGCGAATATTTATCCCGCTCGTAAGGTTTCACGTGTTCTTTCTCATGGCTTAGGTTATTTCAAATTGAGCCCGGACAATAATTCTCATTCCACTATACAATAATTTGTTCCAAGGGGTGTCAAACGGGTTGGTCGGATCGGGTTTGGGTCGGGTCGAAAATGGTCCAACCTATATTGATCCATTTAACCCGTTTTGACCCATATTCATGTAGTATAAATTTAATAACCCATACCCGACTCGTATTCTAAAAGACTTTAAAATCCAATTTAGAAAAAAACTTGTTTCTTATAACGTTTATATTGCTAAAATGCTTCAATTGAATATAAAATAAGTGAAATTTTTTTATAATTTTAAAAAATAATTTTTTTATATTTTTATATATCTTTATTTTCTTTTTATTTTTATTTTTTAAAAATGAAAATTTTAATTTTTTTCCTTTTTCTTTTTTTTTTCTTTTTCCTTCTTCTTCGGCCGGCCGTCGGCGACCAACCGCAGGTGAGCTCGTCTAGATCGGCAAGCTACGAGCTCAAGCTCGACGATCCGACCGAGCTCGAGCTCGTCCGGCGAGCTCGAGCTCGTCTAGATCGACGAGCTTGAGCTCATCAGATTCCGAGGAGCTCAAGGCTCGTCCGGCGAGCTTCGAGCTTACCGATCTGGACGAGCCTCAAGCTCGCCGGAATCTAGCGAGCTCGAAGCTTGCTTGTGGCCGGCGACCGGCCGGAGAAGAAGGAAATAGAAAAAGAAAAAAATGAAAAGAAAATAAATATTTTAAAAAATTCTATTTAAAAAAATTATTTTTTTAAATGACACTTAAGCTATTTAGCCTACAAGGTTACAAGTTAATAACTTAAATGTGTCAAATATGGGTTGAATATGGGTTTAACAAACCCATATTCAATCCATATTTGACCCATATAAACTTGGGCTTTAATATTGCAAACCTATTTTGACCTGTTTTCAAAATTTCAAATGACCCATATTCAACCTGAGCCCACTAAAAATGAGTTAAAAAATGGGTTTCTGACCCATATTGCCACCTCCCAAGGATACTCACATAGTATCATATGCATGCATCATATTGAGGGTCTTTAAAATCTATTCTAATTTCGAAATGACATCAGGGTGTATTTGTTTCACTGAAAATTTCATAGCAAAAGGAAAACATTTTCCATAGAAACCATTTTCAAGAAATATAGTTAGTTTTCATTTATTTTGTGGTTTAGGAAAAATGATTTCCTTCTTGTTAGAATGGATAGTCATTTTCTTTCAATCTAAACTTATTATTTTTAGTATATGAAAAACGTGTTCCGTAAATTAATTTGTTTTTCCATCCAAAAACCGGAATGTCGATGAACAATTTCTCGAAAAGAGTTTTCTTTCAAACCAACAGACTGAAAACGGATATCTTTTTCAACATATAATGGACCAGCGATCATTAGGAAGTTGATTTTCTTCTGCCCTTTTTTGTGGTATGAACCTAGATTTCTTACTCCTGTGCTGTGCTTCGGGGATTGAGCCCTGCAAGAGTGAGGACAAACCGAAAAGAACATCCGCGCATAATCATGCACATGTTGATAAGATTAGGTGCCTGATCCCCGTATCTGCTTTACTTTAATTCGTGATTTGTTTGGTGATGGTCGGAGCATGGAGGATCATGGTTTGCTGCTTAATGCCATGTCCGGTACATGTGGAAATTTGGATTACTCAAGGAATAACTGTCTTTGTACTAAACTTTTCATGTCCGGATAGAAACTCCAATCTGGAAACTGGATTTTGCAAGAAGGGTTCGATTTTACTATACTCATAGTCAGCCAGTGTGTCGGAGGGAGGAAGAAAGAAAAAAGGAATCTACTTTTATGAAAATGTCCTTAGTCATGGCTTGGAAAGTGTCACGTGAATCGAACATGTTCATCGAAAATTGATGAAGATTTGGTCGGCCGGTAAAAATCAGGGTCTTATTTGAAACTAAGTTGGTTACTTCATAGCTTTATTCGAGACGAAATCCACTCTGAATACTCTTTGAGAAACAGCTCCACTCCGGACCCTTAATTGAAATTTTGCCTAATTATAAACCAAGAAATGTGTGTTTTGTTACCTATGCGTTTTTCTATCGAGTTATCTAGTAAAGATTAGGATTTTAGTATTTTCTCTCTCCCTCTCTCTTGCAAATCCTATAATATTTACATCCCAAGCATATGCGCAACCATATTTACACTATTCTAAAAGAGCAAGTCAATCACGTTTCAAGATTTGATGCGACTAAAAGTCCATGAATATCAAATGCACAATGTGGTATTCTCTCTCTTTTTCATCAGCCTACAAAGAGAAATGAGTGAATATATATATTTTGGTAAGGTAAGAGAAATGAGTGAATATATTCATATTTGAATAATATCACATTTTGCTAGATTATTTTATTCATATGGTCAGTATGGAAAACAAAATATAAGAGTGAAAATGATTACCATAAAAGTGAAAATGAAAAAGAAGCTAACTTTAGTTGGGGATTTTCTTTGATATTGTTTAAAATAAAGATGGAATTGGAAGGAGGTGACATAAAAGGGAAAAGAAATACACAAAAGGGACAAACTTCAAATATATATATATACTTTAATCTGGACAGATAATCAAGATAAATTCAAGTCTGTACCTATCAACACATTTAGTTGGATTAATTGTCAAACTCAAGCCGGTGGATTATGACTAAAATATAGTTGGACCAATGTTAAACTCAGTAAATAACAAGTTATAACTAGAATATTAATAGCTCTGCAGCACATTAATTATCCGATATGAAACTCTTTTCCTATTCCTCTCACAAACATCAACACAATAAAAAAATTTGACGTCCTTATTAGTTATTTTACCTCGTCACCAACATAGCTAGAAAGGGAGGCTTCATTACATAAGAAATAAAATTTAACTTTTTTAATTTTATTATTATTTTCCCCTAAATCCGTGTACTTCTTTACTTTTAGGTAAGCATGCCACTTCTTTGTCTTACAATTTGTTTTTGTGGGTCAAGGCGTTCTTGCAAGATATAGGGTAAGCATGCTCAATAAAAAATTTCAATTTTTAAACATTGTGCGTTTTTTTTTACACGAACGACATCTATCACCATTGATTTGGATGGTTGGTCAAATTATCAGATTATAACTACTCAATCAATAGTATTTTCGTAAATAAAAACTTGCGATTTGACTAATCTCTACGGATGCACGCAAAGCGTGGCCCCTAAAGGTTAATATGAGTAGGTGATGCTATGACACATGATCTGCTGGAT